TTATATTTAGTATCCTTAATTAAGGGGTAGCTATACTATTAATAATTCTCTATTATCTTAACTCCTTTACCTAAGTTAAAAGGTATATATATTAGGAAGATAGTACTAGTATAAGGATAAAGTAGTATAAGTTTTATAGAGGTAGATTATTATTATTATTATTATTAAGTAAAGAGTATATTATTATTAGCTTATATAAGCTATTAAACTTTTATATACTATAAGTTCCTTTAGATTATTAATAATATTAAATCTACCTTAAGTATAATTATATAGTAGTTCTAGGTATAACTAAGTATCCTAAGTAGAGTATAATAGTATATTACCTATAGTAGCTAAAGTACTATATATTAAGCTCTAACTTAATTATATTAGACTTAGCTTATAATAATATTACTCTTTCTAATTATATCCTTAAAATACTAAAGGATAATATAATTACTTACCTTAATACTATAGACTAATAGAGTTAATAAGGTACCTTAGTATTAGTTACTATTAGATAAAAAGGAGATAGATATATTCCTACTATATTACTATTTATCTACTAGTTAAAGTTTTAGGCCTAGGAAGCATTATTCTAACTCTAAGGGTTTTTAAAGCTATTTACCTATTATTATATTAGAGATATATAAATATATAGTAAGAGGAGTAAAAAAGCTAGTTAAAGGAGGATAATCTTATATATAACTTACCTATATATAGATAAAGTAAGAGTAAGATTAGGATATTTACTACTTTACTACTATAAAATAAATAAACCTACCTACTAAGCTATTTACTATATCTAATTATATACTTATATTAGTCTACCTAATACCTAGGTAGTCTTAAAAATATTAAGCCTTAATATATAGTTAGCTAAGCCCCTTAATCTCACTAACTATATAAAGCTTATCTTATTATATTTAGTAGTAATAATTAATATAGGAAAGTTAGGGGATAGAATCTAAGGAGCCCGCTTTTACTATAATTTATTTTCTAGTAAATAGCTTAAGCTCTATATCTTTTAGTAATAGAAGTAATAGAAGAGAGGGGGGAGGGGGGGAGGGGGGAAAAGATAAAGAAGGGACTCTATCTATAAAATAAGGCCCTCCCTTATTATATAGTATATTAGCTCTATATTTACTATTAACTTCTATATTAGCCTAAGTATATTATACTACCTTAATCTAAAATACCTTAGCTCTTAGCTTAAATCTACCTATAACTTATTCTTAAGATAGTTTTTAAATTTAGATAATATAAACCTCTATAGTCTAAGCTATAAAAGTTAAAGAGGTAATAGTATATAGTTTCTTTAACCTAAAGCTATATCTAGCCCTTAAATATAGCTAAGAATCTTAATAATATATAGCCTTCCTAATATATTAGGGATACTATTAAAGAAATTACTAGTATAAGAAATAGGGTTAGTATATAAGTAAGCTATATATTAACTTAAGTAAAAATAGATAAGACTCCTAGCTCACTTAATAAGCTCTTATTAATTAAAGAGCTATTAAAAGCTATATAGCTAAATAATAATATTAATTTAACCTCCTATATCTAGATAAATAGTAATACTAAAAGTAATAGTAAAACTTAGGGTATATACTAGTTCTATTCTAAACCTTAAAAAGAATAAAGTTAATAAAAGACTATAGATTATACTATTATTATTAATAAAGATATAGATTAGATTATAGTATTAATAATAGTAAGTCTCTATAGTCTCTAGATAGGACCTTAGTACTTATTAATTATAATACTAATAGGTTAGTTAATATTATTATAAAATATAATATAGATAATAATTAGCTATTTACTACTAAAGAGTTATTATATATATAGGCTAAGTTAGATTCTGCTCTTATATATAATGAAACTACTAATTTCTTAATAGACCCCCTTATTAAAGTATTATACCTAGCTCCTACTATTAAAATAAGTACTAAGAGAGCTAATCTTAAGAGTAGTAATATAAAGATATAGAATAAGAGTACTAATATAAGTCCTACTATAGATAAGCCTCTTACCCTTCCTCTAGTAGTAGATAAGATATTTAATAGTAAGTAGGAAGCTATTAAGATTATAGATAAAAAGATAATTAATAGTAAGTAATACTATAGAGTAGATTAAAAGCTAACTTATAAGCTAGAGGAGAATTATAAGAGTATAAGGGAGTTAATTAAAGAGTAGAAGAAGTTAAAGATATATTAATAGAAAGGAGGTAAGAGGACTAAAAGCTAGACCGCTTAGCTTATATAAGAAGCTAGAGTTTCTAAAAAGGCTATAAAGAGTTATAGATAAGGAAAGATATATAATAATAATAAGGACTCTATAAAAAGGCCTTATAGCTATCTATATAAGATATAGTATCTTTATTTTAACTAACTTAACTATTAAGGAGCTAGTATATATTAAATTAACTTCTATTATATTATTTCTCTAATATAGTATTTATAACTCCTAGTAGCTACTTCTAAATAGGTAAGATATATTTACTACTTACTATTAGGGAATCTCTTATATAACCTTTACTCTATAATAATCTATAGCTACTTTAATAAGGTTAATAATATATCCTTAACTTTTAATTCTCTCTTATATAATCTTAGTATATATTATATAGAGTTATTACTCTATATATTTTATTATACTATATAATTCTAGTTTTATTCCTTCTTATTAATATTAGCTAGATTAGTAGTAACTTAGCTATTATTCTTTAATCCTATTTATATTATAGTAGATAGTATAATAAGTTATTCTATAACTTAAATATTTAATAATTATACTATAATAGCTAATAGCTTAAGATATATATTTATTTTAGGAGTAAGGTTATCTAAAGGTAAGCTATTTCTTAAGCCCTAGAAGTTAATATATCTTAAGTGCTAAATTATAAGACTAAAGGCTTATATTAAGCTTAGCTTAGACTTTAGCTATTATTAATTTTATATAGGTAATCTAGGATATATATACTTAAAAGATAAGATTTCTAAAGTTATTAGGAAGATCTAGTAATATAAAGTCTAGATTATTAATAAGTAATTCTATAAATCTTACTAAGGCTAATATAACTAAGGACTATAACTTTTAATTAATTTACTTTTCTATAACTACCTTAATAATAATAGGAAGTTATTATATATATATTAATATACTTAAGAAATCCCTAAGATTATCTTTAGATAGCTTTAAGAGACTATTAATTTAATAGTAATTAGTAACTATATTAATATCTATATAGAAAATAGCCTAGCTAGTAGTAGAGTCTAAATAGGTGTAAATATTAGTATAGAGATACTTTAATATAGCTTTAATTACTATAGGCTTATACTCATCTATATAAAGGTATGCGTATATAGCTTCTACAGGCGCCCCAGTTGGTGAGACGCTCTCAGTTGCAGCAAAGAACAGGATGCTTCGCTAGGATTAGGTGAACTCATCCTTTAGCAACAATTTCCATCTACATTAGCGATTTCTAAAGACCTAACGGAGATAAATACGAGAGAGAGACCCTTGAAATTACTCAGGGCTAGTCGGTTTGTATCACCGCCTCTCCTCACTTCACATGGAGATCATTAATATTATAAGACTAGGTAAGCAAGGCCAGCTAGTCCACGGCTTCGGGCGGCGTGGATGAGAGATAAATATTATTGGGGGAAAAAGGGAAATGGACTAAAGGTTTTTATTTTGTTGACAACGATACCCTAGCTCCGTTCTTTCTGCTCCGAGCTGTAGTTTGTTTCTCCGAAGTAACAAGGACGCTGTGCTCGGTATCCCTAACTCGATGCTACTTGCCACGGCTTAATTTGATCACCACTATCGCGCATACGAACTCGTAAGAACGCCATACTCACTAGCTTCATAACTCAGCCTTAACACTTAATCTAGGCTTTTCAAACCGCATTAAGACTCGCCTTGACTTCAAATGGTTCATTTCGGACAGGCTGGCCAGACACTGCAAAAAAATGGCCAAGCAAAATTCCACCCCAAGACCTTCGTATAACTTCGTCACTTAGTAAAAGCTACCATAGTTCTTGTCGCTCACCAGGGCCCATTGATGGGCACAACATCCGTTGTACCACTGTCATTAGAGCTTAGGTCGCCAGAGTTATTGCCATCTGGTAAATGCGACGGATCGTATATCATACCAGCAGGGGTGAAATCCTGCCTGTGGCTGACATCATGTAGCCAACAATATGTACTGCCGCCGTATTGCCTGCAGTCCAGAACCTGACAGATGTGGCCCTTGGTGCATAGGGAATCGCGGCAGGCACCCCCTTTCTTACACCTTAAAGAACGTGCGCGCAACTCCGCAGCTATTTTGACCGTTTCATCAAGAGGTGTGTGATCGTACTGACAATCGTTGCCACGCTCACAGACTCCTGTTAATTGCCAATTATTGCAGATACGGCGTTTTTTAGAGCGCTCATGTAAGAGATTCATTGCCGTGACATCGACTCGTGGTATGTAGGTGTCTAGACGGAAGCCATTCCCGTTGACGGCTATATGATGCTCTGGTATATTTTCCTTCCTAGGTAACTTGGAAATGTTGCCGGCGACTTCTTGTTGGTAGTGGGCATGACCAAGTTGTTAGACGTTACTGACATGGTACTGTAGCTTACCATTGCTATTGAGAGGTGCTTTCTCTTCCGTCGTAGTTGCGTCATGTATCGATGTTTTTGTGCTTGCCCGATTGGTAACGTGTGCCATCTTGCAATCTGAGCCATACCAGCATTTTCCTAGCTGGAAATAGGGACAAAGATCCTTCTGCCTTGTGCTATTGCTTGAACCTAGCCGGTTTGAGTCCATTATCGGCGAAGGAGCAGACACGGTTGGGAGAGCCGCCATTGGAAGGTGTTGTGCTTTCGTATTCGCTGCTGGTCCAAAGGGGGCACGAATATGTACAGCTATACCTAGTGGTACGGGGCGAAAGACACCTGGTAAACTCTCGATATTCATGTCGAGTTTGTGGAACTTTTGATGAAATCTGTGACCATGGGAATTTATTAGAGTAAACCTTTCACGATTACTCTTGTGTGGCGTTAGCTCAGCTATGTAGGCTTCGTCATGGCAAGCCGCGAAGAAAATGTGCTTGCACTGCACGTTGCTGATATGGTGCCGCAATTGATCGCGGAGTTTAAAGTCGGCACTCTCCTTAAGTTCGCCAGCATCAACAAAATCGCAGTAGCCAAAAGAGCGATTAAAGTCGGCAATAAATGGGGTGAGGGAGCGCTTCTCCGGCCCACATAGACCAGCCCTAGATAGCGTCTTAGACAGACCCGCAACATTGGCGTAAATGCGGATAAGGATCTGGCAGTGTTCCAGATTCTTGGCTTCGAGCTTCGCTTTGACTGCCTCATTTAAGGCGCGGGCGGCATTACCGCCACCATCTTCGGCGCCTTTGCGGACGAAGTCATCTTGGAAATGGTAGCCATCACCATCGCCATCAATGAGGACGATGACGTACTGACCAAGATCCTGGCCTTTCGAGAGCTTCTTGTACCTCTCACGGGACTCGCGAGCCTCCTCATATTCGGTTTTCAGCTTGTTATAGTCTCTGATGAGCTCCGCATACTCATCGAGAATCTCAGAGAGGGCGTCGTCTTGACGGAATTTAATGAGCGCCTGCTCCGAATGCCGGAGCTGGTCCTCGGTGAGCATCGTTGCCGATTAGGATAAGCAGGATAGCGAGAAGTGCCTTTAAGATCTTGCCCTAGTAGTCATTGAGAGGCTTTGAGACGTCGATGCTCAGATCCATGGAAATGAAGGGAGTGTTTGGGCAATATTTCGCTTCGTAAGCTTCTTGGGGATCAAATTTCCCCTCGCTTCGCGAGAGACAAAAGGAGGGGTAGCAAAAAGGCGGTAGTTGAGGGCGCGTTGCCCCTTTGAGCGGGCGCTAAACCGGAAAGAGGTGATACCGCGACTCGAGGGACGCGGCAATCCGGGCCAGGCCTAACTACAACATGTCAGGATCAAGATCCCTAAGATAGATATCCAATAGCGGAAAAACGCTCGTCCATGGAGCTACAACACTTCATCCGTTGTCCCTCGACTCTTGATCTTGGGCTTGTATTGAGACTATAGTGGTTATCAGTGCCTTAATTAATGATCAGATTGAGTGCTGCTAGAGGCAATTCCGTCTTCAAATTGGCTTCTAGATGGCGCGCTTTCTACGCTATAGACAGTTTCAGGTCTGATCGGAGTTTCGGGACTCGTGGTGCTAACAGTAAGAGCAGTATGGTAAAAACTAGGGAGAGAGCAAGTTAGTCAACCTCTACATACCGCCCTATCAGAAGCCGATCTGCTAGTTCCGCTAGCCCGAGTGTATATACTAGATAGAGGATAGTAGGTAGATCTTAGGCATTATGTTCTTATAGGTCTAGATTAGTATAGTTAGTGAGTAGTAGAAGTATAGTAGGTATATAGTTTCCTAAGACCACTAGGATAAGTACTATAATTTTTAATCCTAGTATAGGTGTATTAACGCTAGCCCCTTAGTCTAATAGCTATACTATAATATTAACTAGGCCTTTTAATATAATAATATAGAGAGGTAATAGAGAGGGAGAGTATATAAGTTATATCTATATCCTATATAGAAAAACTAACTAGCTTACTCTACTAGAGTTAAACTAGCTAATAGTGTAATTAGTTAGGCGGTATTAGTTAAGGATAATAGGATCTAGATAGTAAAATTATAATACCTTATCTAGGATAGTAAGAGAAGTCACCTAAGTCCCTAGCTTATTTTAATTAATAAATTCTATAGCTTTAATAATAATAGACTTTATCTACTAATTTTTATATAAGGTATATAGGTAGTATAAAAGTAGCTCTAGTAACTCCTAATATATCTAGCTTATATAACTAAAGCTATAGAGGTTATAGTATATTAGATATTTACTAATTAGGTAGACTAACTTATAAGAAAGCTTCTCTATCTTATTAGTAGTTTTTAGGACCTTAGGTCCCCTTACTTTATAAAGGAGGTATTAAATTCTAGCTTAGTTTATATTCTCTAGCACTAAGTTAGATATAGTAATAGATAAGCGTTATTATATACCTCTTATATCTAATAAAAAGTATTTATTAAATATTTATTATAAGGGTGGGATTTAGATTATATAAGCTTAATAGGATAATAGTTTCAGCTATAACGCGTAACTTGAAAATAGCCTAATAGCACTATAAAAAATTTCACAATAGTAAGAACGAATTTTTAAAATAATAGCTGCGCAAAAGAACAAGCACTCCTGCCTACAGTCGTAATGACTTTCGATAGGCTATAGCATCTTCTCCTACGATGTTATATATCCCTCGCAGCCTCATCGCAGCCGCAGGCGGGAAAATGACCCCCGAACCCTACGAGCATGCCACGAAAACAACGCACCCGGCCCCGGACCACGCGCCTAGATCTGACGCCCTCACACTTTGTGCAGTGCGACGACCAAGCCCAAACACTCTCAACAGTATGATTTCAAACACGATAAATATACAGTCACCTAGGGGTCCCCAGCGCCTCAACGCTCGGCCCGTTTCATCAACGTTTACAACGTCCCACTACACCGTTATACCCGACAGGGATTCCCTCTCGTTAACTGCTCAACGGACGCTCGACTGCCTACAAACAGCTACACAATACTACAGATTCCAGGCAGCACGGATCGCTGCGGTGACTCCGGGATGCATCCTGCTTTGGTCTCTTTCTAGGCCTGGTTCTTCACCTTACGGCCCCGCGGTGAAGCCGTCATTTCGGGACAAAACCCAGATCATCCTAATCTTATTGTTCCCTTTCCCCAGTCGTTCGATGTGCTTGTATATCTATTGGATGGTGGCCTGGCCGGACTGTCGCGGTCGTGCGATTGTTCTCAGGTAGGCATGCATCGTAACGCCACCGCTATTGCTTCTAATTCGGCCGTGTACGGGTTCTGGACGTCTCGCGACCCAGGGGTGGCCAAGAACCTGGCCGCCACACTGCCGGCTTGACCAGTTGACTTTTGCATGAAGCCTCCCACACCTACAAGCCCTTCTCTGTCAGAGGTACTGGTCGCAATGATGATGTTTTTGGTACTGCTAGCTGCTGCTATTGCCGCCTCACGGCCAGCCTCGTATACCAGCGACACTCAGTTGTACCAGGGCGGTACTGCATAGATTTCGATCCGCTTCGATCCGCTCGATTTCATACGGGTGATGTGTGCCCGATTGTCCACATCCGTCGGTGAGTTGTTGTTCCCTTCCGATGCTTACTCATCTAGGTGGTCGCCATTTCTAGCCAGTCGGTCCACGGCGTGACACTGTAGGGACAAGTCAGGGAGGGACAGTTGCGTATACACAGAATGGGGTAAAGCTTGCTCGAGTCTACTCGGGCCCAACCGATGCTAGCACATATGAGGACTTTATCGAGCAGCTCCTGTGCCACTGCCGGCGGTGGCCGGAGCCGAACTCGGTCCTGGTGATGGACAACGGCTCCATTCACCACTCTGACAGGATTAAGGAACTGTGTGCCAACGCAGGAGTCCGCTTGTGCTACCTTTCCCCGTATTCGCCGGACTTTAATCCCATCGAAGAGTATTTTGCGGAGCTAAAAGCGTACATCAAACGACTACGGCCATAGTATTTTGACTTGTACGAGAAGGATTTCAAGGCCCTCGTAAGAATGTGCGTAGATGCAGTGGGGGTTCGAAGGGAAAGTGCTGAGGGTCATTTCAGTCACTCTGGGATTTCCATCGAGCATCCTCTGGAGTCGACGCCTTGATATTATTGGAAGAAGAGAGAAGATAGGAGGCAGGTTTTGGGAGCGTCTTGAGGAGCAATGGCCTATTTAGAGAGATAAACAACCTATTATAGAAATTCTGCATCACCGGTTTCTTTCTCCCATGGATTCAGCAGATCTGTTCCGTTCTGATATCTTCTGAAATCCTCCAAAGTATCTTCGTCCAGCTTACGCATCCAATCATCATCGTCATCTTTAGGTAGGCGTGGACGACCGTCTTCATCTTCAACCGCTAGCGCCCCGAACTTGTCTCTGAAGTATGCAGGCCAAGGCTTAGCGTAGTATCCCTCTATCCTAAGCTTCTCCACGCCCAATTTCGATAGCCCTGCTAAGGCCTGAGCAATAGCTATGTCCTTTCCCAGGCTTCGTTCCCAGGTCTTGTCGACGCCCTCACCCCACCATCTCACCACCACACTCTTTATACCCGTAGTGGCTTCGGGGAGGATACGGAGTAGATTCAACCAAGAACCCTTGTCGGCGTTCGGGGGTACGTAGATATCCAGAGATTGAATCAGCTTCGTGTTCGTATACCCAATCTGAACTATGAGCCGCAACATCAAGTCCGGATGGTTGAAGCGGAATACGTTTCGCGAGTAAATTATCGGGGCCGCCTCAAGATAAATCTGCTTGCACGTCTGTAGTACAGCTGGCTCCATCGTTCGGTACTGTCGAGCTTGGATGAAGTCCAGCATAACCAACTTCTGATAAGTGTTTCCAACTGACCAGGATGGGTTGTCCCAGCGGTTGAACCGGCTAACGAGAAGCAGGTCATATATTTTAAGTCGAATTTCGACTGGTAAGTCGAGTAGTAAGGATTTCTGCTTCGATTGGATCAGCGCCTTAGCCTGCGGGTGTCGACTTCTAACGCAAGGTTCGGCGTCGGAGATATCGAGGCCGAAGAATGCCTTGGCAATGGCTTTCCTACTAAACGGCTCAGCCATGTTCGGAAGCTGCGTTTTGGAGTCCTTGGGAACAAAGAGATATCGCGTTGTGCACCACTGCTCTCAGGCGCGTTATGATCAATGTGCGTTCGTAGTGGACAGTGGGGTGCTCATAGCCGGATCTGTCTGCATCTGCATGACTCAACTATTGATGCCTCAGGCAATTGGCAACGCTAGGTAATGCCGATGTAAGCCGAGAGGAGCACGGCCTCCTGTCATCCGCCTGGGGTCCATGGGCCTGAGGAGACACGGGCCCGCTGTTAGCACAAGAGCTGGGCAGGACCTTTCGCCGCCACATAAGCCCCAACCGCTCTAGCCACAACCTGCTAAACTGGCTCTAATTTATACTGGAAAGAGTGGACACTGATTTCGGTCTTTACAATATGTACATAATACCTTGTATATAAAGAATGGGGAGGATAAGGCGCGAATCAAAGCCTGGGACACTTTGGTGATGATGGTCACGTGAGTAAGATGATTTACCAATCAGAACTGAAGTTCAGACATCATGTCCCCAATAGCGCGCCACCGTCTTCAGAGCGACAAGGCATTTGCAGAGTTTTTGAGTGATATCTCTGATGGTACGTTTGCCTATCTGGCCTGGGCTGGGTTATACTGACATGTTTTGCAGTCGTTCAATTTCAAGGCTCACTCTAAGGGCGAAGAATTTTTCAGCGACGCTGAAAAGCCCCCGACCACCATCGACGGGTCAGGTCAGACCGTTTACTGGACCGCTTGCTTTTTACGGGTATACTCTGCAACAGATACAAGTACACCGACCGCGTCGTATGATAAGTGCGATGGAGAGGGCATACTTACGCTGTCTTTTATTCCCAGGTTGACTGGTAGTACTGTTCTCGAGCGGTCTGATCCCTTTAGTTCTTAGATTATTGATTTTGATCATCAGTTCAGGTGCAATTTTGCCAGCAAGTTGTTTCGTAACTAGTTGTCGAGACGTAACAGATTCATTCTCTAATCCAGAGATTACCCTAGTATAGTCAGCTTTATTGGGGATGTAGTGCTGCACCTCTGTCGCGCTTTTTGTGAGATGATATGCGAGCCTGGCCGGGAATCCACCACTTCCGAGGAATATGTTTGGCGTGGAGTCTTCCCCAGCTTGTTGGGTTTCCTGCCAGGATACTTCTATCCCAGACACGCGCTCATATGTACTGAGGCGCTGCAGGAGGAGTTCAACATAGGGGGGGGCTTCATCCGTGGTAACCTCTTCCATTTCTGAACGAGGCATCAAAATATGGTTGGTAAATAGAGCTCTGGCAACCATCAGAAGAGCGGTTAAATTAAATGTGCTGCTTACATAAGTAAGTGCTACTCTGAGCTCACAATTGATTGAACTAAGCTAATGTGGGCCATTATCACACGCATTTGGATGCCCCCTTGCGCGTCTTTGATTAGCTATGCCCATCCGGTTGCACAATCACATTGGCCCGCCTAAAGCGCCTAAAGCGCTCTAGGCTCCTGCTGCACAAGTTCATCAGTTACCACGCTCGGCGCTTTGTAACCCAGTCGCAAGAATTAACAAGTTCATACTCGGTTGTTTCCTTGAAAGCCATATTGAATGTGATTGTATAGATAATTGAATGATCGATTAGCAGTTTTGTTTGTCTGCTTTGTGGTGTAGAAGAATGGAATAAAAGGAGACGCTCGAGAGGATTTCAGTTATTCTATATATCATTTTACCTTTCCATTATCGTGAAATACGCAGCGCACTGACTAGGACCGGCGGACTACGATAGTGGACTACGATAGCGGACTACGATAATGGACGACGACAGTGGAGCAAGGTGACGGTGTAGCTTGATTACTAATGTTTAGATGGTCAAGCGGTGAGTCGTGGCAGAATAGATGAGGCTTGAGCCAAAACACTACAGCTAATCATGACGGTACGAGTAGACAATTCTTGTGGACAATTCGTCGCTACTCACCATGGACGCCACCTCCAGGAACTCTTTCGAAATCCTGGCTTGTCAGCCGGTCTGGACAGAGACTGATGAACCAGAATTCGACCATAGAATGGTCATCCTGCGCCAGGGTGACCAATACTTTTTTGGACGAGACCCACGACGCAAAGGAGATATCGACCCAACCCAGATACTCCTAACAGCTATACCAATATCCCATTTCCGGGCACCATTTCCAACCGACCTAACGGTAGCACCGGACTTTCCTCTTGATCTAAAGAGTATATTTATCAAAGAACCAAATCTCCTCACGTATAGCCACTGTTCTTTCGCTACGCAACAGTCCTTCTACGAGCCGCAACTACAAGAAGCCCGAGTGTACGAGCAGTTACGGCAGGCACCACATCCTAATATCGGCGTCTACTATGGGTGTGCGGTTATTGATGGTCGGATCAAAGGACTATGTCTAAGGCGATATAAACAAACGTTGGCGATGTTGCTGAGGGATCAATCTTTAGATTACAACGAAAAGCAGGCCATTATGGAGGATATAAAAAGGGGAGTTGCACATCTACATTCTCTGAATCTCGTCCACGGGGATATCAATCTCTCCAATATCATGGTCGATGGTAAAGATAGTAGTGCTGTTCTTATTGACTTTGATTCTTGTCGACCTAAGGGCGAACCTATTGGCCCTAAGGCTGGTACGATGAATTGGGGCGGCCCTTCTCCGGATGTCGCTCATATTGAGCATGATCTGAATGCACTCACACTAATCGAAGAGCGCCTATTTGCAGATACTTAACTGATTACTTCTCTTGCAGCCTGCTCGATATGTATCACCGCGGAGATTTCGCAACGAGTCTGCATTTTAATTCTTTAGTCAAAGACCCTCCTCAATCGAGTACCATTCTTATCCACTTGGTGAGAAAGATCACGTGAGTGCATCAATGGGCCAATCAGAGATGAAGCTCACAGGATTACGAGCCATCGATGATTGGCTGAGAGTCACCACTTGGTGCTCTGAGTAATGAGACTCGTCCACAGCAGGAGCTTCATTGGCAGCAGGAGCCTCATCCATACATATGAGGGGCTTCCCACCAAGTTCTATTTTCCTGTTATATGGGAGCATCTAGAATATGACATCATAGACGGACGTTTTCATTGCCAAGGGTTCTCATTGCCTCTCGTATTACTTGCTCCTCTTCTGCTTCTGGCTCATCATAACGATCTTGATGGTTGAAGGATAAAGCCAGATCGCCCATGGTGAAGAGGGTGAGAGAGCGTCGTGTATATAACATCACGTGGAGCTCAATCATGTGCTTGCACCCTCGAACAAAAAGTCTTCGTCAACGTTTAACTCAAGCAGATGTCGCAGCATTTAGTCTTAGGTTAGCACGGGTACATATGAGTAATCGTAGGCAGCAACGGGCAGGAATTAGTGAGATGACCTTTCTCAGAGATTACTCATCAGCAGTTGTTGCCCATGTCTTGTGTGCCCTGTGTGCCCTGTGTGCACTCGCACTAGATTGCGATGGCAGAAAAGTTTATTAATGGAGTGATTAGACGTACATATGCGGCTTGATCTGTATCAATACGCGAATACTTTAGCATGCTAATCCCAGGGCTTTTAAACGTGTCAAGGACAGCCAGCGCGCCGCTCGCTGAACCGCTGAGTGTAAAAGCCAAACAATACGGAGCCCACTTACGTCATCTTGTTAGAGTGCCACGCTATCGGAGCGGTCAAACAATCTACCAGTTCTCCTCAAAAATGGGTAGTGTTACCAACCTGTCTTTAACATCCTATGTCTACGAATCGAGCATCAATGCATCCTTTCGCAGCTTAGAAAATTACACTTTCTCGAAATGCTGAAGACGCCCCCTAGCCGACGATGGACTTCATTCGAAAATTGGAATTACAATGGTATGAGAGAACGGCTAGAGGGGTTACTTGCGAAACTGGACAAGGGAATACTCTTACAACATGCCGAGCTCATTACAGGCAAGAAATGCCGCATGAGCCAACCGTTTTCGGCCGGGCAGTATTGGATCTGCTTCGAGATAATCGCTGAGGACAGCCGCCTTGTCATCGCCCGCGTTCGGCTGCCTCGACACCCTCAAGCTTCATTCAACACAAGCGAGAAAGACGAACAATATGCGATTGAGTGCGAGATCGCGACAATGCGCCTCGTGAGGCAGAGACTCCCGAGCTTGGTCGTCCCTCAAGTGTACGCCTACGAAGACCCCGAGTCACAATTCGCAATCAATGCTGGTGCTGCCTATATGCTTATGGAAGGATTTTACGGCAATACCTTGCAAGATATCGCCCCCGACCTCTGCAGTTTGCCGGTAGGTGAAGACTTCTCTGTCCGTATTGGAGCACTCTAACGTATTCCAGTTGTCGAAGCTAGACCAGATTATGGGACAATGGACAACGATCCAAACATCGCTGGCAACCCTGACTTATCCACTCATCGGGTCAATCTCTGCCATCACACAAACGGGAGAGCCCGTCATCGGCAGGCTATCTTCCGCTGCTTCAGAGGGCCTTATTTCACAAGGTCCTTTCCGGAACGCTGTCGATTACTTCACCGCCCTTGGAGAAGCAGCTTTTCACCGGGCGCATACATCTTGCAATACCGAGAACCTGTCACACTTCTACAAGCTTGGAGCGATAGCTTTTATTGACATTGTGCAGTCCACGACGCTATTCAAGACGCAGCACACTCAGTACCCCCTCAACCACATGGACCTCGGCACGCAGAATGTTATAGTCGACAATGATTTCAATTTCCTAGCTGTTATCGATTGGGAGTTCGCCCAAACTGCCCCCTGGCCAGTAAATCACTACCCGATGCCTTTTCCGTTATTGTGGTCGGACGAGAAGATCCAGAATATTCTGAATAACCCTCAGCATCTTGCACATACAAATGTGTCTAAGCAGGCTGCTGCTAGACAGCTGTACTCCAAAAAGTTCCGGGAAGCCGCGGCAAAGCTTGCTCGGAAAGGCTTACCACTCAGTGACAGCTTTGCAGAAGTGTTACAGGGGGCGGCGTCAAGAGTTTATGCTTGCTTCTCCAGACTTGGATGCGATCCGGAGCAGGATGAGGGGCTTGTCAACGAAATGGCGCGTTTGGCGTTTGATTTTGATTCGGGAAGAACGAAACAATATTTGGAAGAATTGTCATCCAAGAACAATAGTCATGGCGGAGATCAGGACATTAGATGTTTCATGCCATCATTGCCGAGCCGTTCATGAAACGCACAGCCTTTTTATGCACCTAGCTTTCCTCCAGACGCTTTTCCTCGTCCTCTGATGCGAAATACACTCCAACCTTGCTGCTCTGTAATTCCTCCACTAAATTGTTCGCGTTCTCGGTTTTCGGAGGAATAAGTTTTGGCCAACTTCGTAACTGATATAGCGGGGCGAAGGAACAAGTGACCGGAGACCCCTGGTCCATTTCGAAAGCCGTCCGCGCATCTAGAATCACTCTGTGAGGCCATTAGCAATTGTCTTCCCGAAAGCGAGTGATCAACTAACAAACCGCTGGTCTGAAAGTCGAGCGACACAGGCTGACAGCCTGCACGCACTAGTATTGCCGACGCGACTTCCCACATACGATTCGCGGCACGAACACTTTTCAATGTCTCTTGGGGTACTCTGTGGGAACCGCGCCAATAGATCCCTCGGCAACCATCCTTCCATAACTGCACGACGAGGACATCTGCTTTTGCACCACCCCTCCTGAGGAGAAAGCTATGCCCTCGGTCCTCCTGAATCCTCCGATAATCGCCAAGAGCACACCATTCGAAGGACTTCTCTAAGACTGGCCGGATGTGCTGGAAATATCAGAATGCGACAATGAATATGAAGGCGTTGTTGGAGTTGGCTCACCTCACTCCCGAGTACATTATCACGGTAAAACTGCAGGCCTGCTTCGGACTTTGTCGAAAACTGATGTTTGTTCCTCTCCATGTCCAAGATACCTTGGCCTACCAAGGGGTCCTGTATGTGAAAAAATCCATCCTCCGCGATCGCATTAATTGCGTCTTCGAGCGAAAACGTGGGGGTCACCATCAAGTCTCGATTAGATGTGACAAGTGCTGCGCTGTGGTGATATCAAAAACTAAAGATGAGAGTTTGGGGACATCAAAGGAGGGGTCATGCGCCACTTGTCGTGCACACATCACGCTTCTGCGAGCACCCATGACGGGTCGACCCACACAGTGTGATTGTCGTTTCACACTTATTGCTATGATTGGACTCACAAATATGTGAACAAGCGAACCACCGTCGCCTCATAGGCAGCAGTCCTGCCACCAGACTGGCAATAGCAGGGTGATATTTCCAAATATAAAAACATGCAATCCTGGACTTCCTCGAGACTTGATTTTTCTCTTCTTCAATTAGCCTTCACTATCCCTAACACTCAAGACTTTGCCAAACTCAATCTCCTTGAAGAACACGCTTTCGAAGAATCTTTTTTGCAATATGCCTTCCTCCAATAACCAAACTCAATGCTCACAATGCGGCGCCGTTTACGGCCAGGGCCAGTCTCATAATTGCAGCAAGTGAAGGGTTGTTACGGAACGAAGTATGCTTCTATAAGGCTTTCTTCTATTATTTACTAATTTCATTCAGAAGAACTAGATGGACGTTTGGCGAAGTGACTCAGTCGGACGGAGGATTTGCTTGGGATTTGGCTAGCAACTTTTCACTTCAATTACCAAGCTGTTGGCTCCAAGGACGGGGAACACTGTGTTTCCTGGATCTTGTGCACCCCTTGGCTCTTTCTTCGCCTAAAAACAAATATATTATGATTACTTAGTCTTCGCTCTTACACTATCTGTAGAAGTTGCAATGAGGGACACTTCGGGAACCGCGTCAGGTGGTTCTGGCTCGTCGTTTGCACCATCGTTCGCAGCTGTAGAAGCTAATATCCAGTTATTGTCAGATGTTGAGTCCACGTGAGAAAATGCCCAATCCCCTAACATAACCTCGTTATGTGTAGCCATGTTCGCGTTAGCAAATGCCCACTGTCCCAGGTTGTACTCAGTTGGTTCCGGATCTGCGATGGTATCGGCAAATGCCCAGTCACCTAGCGTCCAATCCACAGTTGTGGTTGTGCCTATAGATGCATTCTCAAAGGAGAATTGGCCGCCAACATTACTCGTAGAGGGATGCAGTACAATACCGGCGTCCAAATATGTCATCTCGATCTTCTCGTCATGCACCTGGTCGGTTACGCACGAAGCTGCAATCATGTTGCCACTTGATCCAGTTGCCAAGCTAGCTATCGCCATCGTCCTATTTATATTTGTTCCAGCCGTAGAGTCACTAGCTTCGCGGATTGAATCCATGGGCAAATCGGCCTCTTGGACGGATGAAGCTGCGGTCTTGCACTTCTTCTGCACCTGCTCTGAAACTGGAGATACCTGATCTCTTTTTCTAGCGTTGCGGCGTTCCCGGCAACGGTCCAGCTCTCTGTTGACGGCTGCATTGAAATTGATTGTTCTTTGCTCCATGAAAATGCGCCGTGGATCGTCAGGGCTACTCTCGTGATGATGCCGGTTATATTGATGCACTTTCACAATTGGTTCAATGCAGAAGGGGCAAAGCTCGTTACAATCGGTGTCTAAAAGTTTGGCTTAGTAGCGGTGAGGAAATTGGTCGGGCGACGTACGAGTTTGAGCATGCCGTACAAGGTTCGATCTAGTTGTGTACGGTTGGGTGCGGTTACACGACCCGTAAGGACATCTGAGTGGGTTCCATGGTGTAGAAGAAGGCTCTGTTTGATAATCCTCTGGCCCTACGTCGTTGTCCTTATCAGGTTCTGGTAGATGCATTCGGCAGCGATCTAATTCAGCAAGAAGCTTGCGTTCTCGAGACTACTTCTTTGGTCATGAGTGCCAAGTTAAAATCATTGGGCGCTACTAACACGATAATTCTCAAGATGGTCCATCAGTTCCTTGTTTGAAGGAAATGGGACGTAGCATGTTTGGCATTGGTGGTGCTGTTTGTACTCGTCTGTCATTGCTGGAGAGTGATGATGACGATGATGGGAAAGATGCGGATTGGTTCAGTCGCAAAGAGTAAATGACTCGCCTACCAATGGCGGGCGTAGCCCCACAGCAACTTGGGCGGGAATGGTGCCCGACACAAGCCGCCCTACCAATTTAAGACCACACCCGTCCCCATCGCAATGAGCTGCTGCCAACTCACCTCTAGCATTATAATTACCGCAACCCGAGCACAATGACAACATGCGAAACTTGCAACGGCGATGGGATTAAAAATGGTGGTATTTGTACGGACTGCAAGGGAAAGGGGGAAATCGGTTAATTCAGTCTAAGGCCCGAATTACCGTCGGCATGAGTACGTGGGCAGCTGAGGTCAGTCCCGACCCATTTAAGAGATACTTGCCTTGCTGACAAAAACGATCTTCTTAGCAACCGTACTGGTCAAATTGAAACAAGTCATACCCTAAACAACGAGAGCGTCCGCTTGCGCAATCTACTCAAGATTCTTGAAAAAGGAAAGGGAAGTGCGGTTCATTGCAGCAGGCCTTTTGACATCGGTGATGGATTGGCAAAAGAGATCATGCATACAAAATAAGGGCAAGCCGCTCTTGTGACTAGCTTTCATGAATACAACCGTAAATACCACATGTGAATGAATCGACTTGTTCGAGTAATTGAATCTTAATGATGATACAAGTTACGGACGTATCCATAAGAAGATGGCTCTCCCCTGACCAACTAGGCTGTTTTGAGCACTAGGTCTGTAATCATATATTTGTGAGTTGCCAAGCAGTCACGCTCTCTTGTGAGTACACACATAATCACGTTTTTGTGAGCACTCATGTCTTTTGTCCGAAGCACCCCTGCGATCACACTTTTGTGAGCGCCTTTGTCGGCAGAATACTAGCCAACAAGACCCACTCATACACCCAATCATGATTTCTCCACGACATAATCCATCATTTTAGATATCAGATGCGCGCAAGCTTATCGGAAATACCTTGGATGGAAACCAAAAGTATCCCCGGAGTCGGATGTTGGGCCGCTAGATGAGGAAGATTGTTATGCCGTATTGGCCATTGACCGAGCTTGAGGTTGTGGACGCTAGTCCATGGTCGCTAGATCAGTACTCCAGGGGATTTCCTGATCACCAAAAGGTGCATTGCCATCAGCTGCGGCCGATCGAATTTCTACCTTGGAAATGTAACGTATAATCTGCAGTCAAACTCATGAATAACTCTTTGGCTCCGTCAACACCTTCTATATGACCAATGGTTTAACTATCCCACCCCCCCCTTCTCTGAACGGGGAACGGGGTGGATCGACCGGTCTAATCACCCGAATAGTGGCTGCAGTTGAACGCATCGTGAACGAGGTGACCGAATTGCATGAGCCTTGCATACTTTTCCCCGCTTAACAGGCCAGATGGTACGAGCTAGATCCTAGCACGTTTGAGGGAGGTCCAATCGTCAGCGACCGTGGTTGTTGTTGGCAGCATGGCAAGATGGCGCAGGATAGTATTGCTCGTATGTTCAATCTGCATGTATAAGAACTCGCTGTTGTCCACTTGCTCAAGAAATGAATCCCTCCTCCGAAAGAAACACTTCTTTGTCTTCCTCACGCAATCAATTGGACTTCACTCCTCTTATATACGCCTTATCACCAGCCTCCTCTGGGCTCACATTGCTTTACACAGACCATCCTCCTTCCCCTCTTTTGTCCTCAATCCTATTTACCATGACACTCCTCAGTAACATCAGCCCGCCTCTCATCCAAGAAGCACTGTCCCAGCCGATGTCCATTTTGGACCTCTTCATTCCTGGACTTTCAAACATCACGGGTGTCGCCAGTCAAGTCCTCAATGGGAAAATGACTATCTACACTCAGCTGATGTGCCTCTTTGGCTTGGCTACACTCTTGAAGCCGTATTTGTCTCAATTGAGAGATTGGCTCATTGAAGATTTCAGTAAGTCATTCAGAATAAGTTTACGAGGGCACGAGCTTACCACTAGAAGCATCAACGGTCCACATTAAACAGTCGGACGAAACGTACGATATGATCCAAGCCTGGGTCTCTTCTCATAAACTAGATGATGCCTCTCGCTCCATCCTCGCTAAGGTCATGACGAAGCGAAAGACTCAAGATGACTATGACGCACACACTAAAAAAACGCTTCAGTATGCCCCTTGGGAAGGAGCTTTCTACTTTTAGTATAGGTTGAACTTGTTTTTGTATAAGGCCACACAGGTAAAGGTCGGCTTTTATCCGCAGGAGCAGATCTCCATCACCTATATCGGACGATCTTCATCTATACTAAAGGTTTTCATGGAAGACTGCCGACGTGAATATCTTAACACCTTAAAGAATAAAACGATAATCTATGGTCATCGTGGTAACTGCTGGGTCAAGGAGAGGGAAGTAATTACTCGGCCTCTTTCGACTATTATTCTTAATGAACAGCAAAAAAAGCCACTTATCAATGATATTCAAAAATTTCTCGATCCAAAAACTAAAAGCCGATATTTAGCTTATTCAGTCCCCTACAGGCGAGGGTATCTCTTATATAGTCCTCCAGGAACTAGAAAAACAAGCTTTAGTTTATCTATTACTAGTGCGTTAGACATGGATATCTACGTCCTTAGCATCCCTAGCATGAAGGATGACCTACTTAAGGATCTGTTTGTTGAGCTTCCCCGAAGATGCGTTGTCTTGCTAGAGGATATTGATGCTGTAAACGCCACGCGCTCTCGAGATTCTAGCGAAGAGGATTCAGACAGCGATGGAGAGACGCGATCACAAAACACAGGGTTGACTCTTTCAGGTCTTCTCAATGTCCTCGATGGTGTTTCTTCCCAAGACGACCGAGTGCTGATTATGACGACTAATCATCCTAGAAAGCTAGATGCCGCCCTCACTAGGCCTGGTCGAGTTGATAAGAAGATTTCTTTCCAGCTTGCTAGTAGAACCGTCGCTAAGGAAATCTACTGCTTCATGTTTGGGCAAGCAGGAGATGTTGATACACAGCCAGGCCCGAATGAAAAGATTAAGAATCAAGGGGAAGAGTTCGCAGCAAAGATACCGGAGTTGAAGTTCAGCCCTGCGGAGGTAATGGCGTATCTGCAGCAGTATTGGGATTCACCGGCTAGTGCAATAGAGCACTGTAGGGAATGGGTTGATGATCTCATCCAAGAAAAGGAGATCAATGCAGCATCATTAGAGAATGATGAAACTGAACTGGCTTGATTCGATTGGTATAAAACATTGAAATAAAAGAGGATGCTTGCCAGTCCTTACTGTCTTTCTCAAGGTTAACGGCCCGGTGTAGGTCAATAAGCTCTGTCCCTACAGTTTTTAGTATGCCTTATAAGCAATATCATTCATTTATTTGTAATTTCCTGAAAAAAAAAGCTGTAGAATAATCTTTTCGTAAGGGCTCTTGCCTACAAGACCTGCCTGATCCACCTAGGCATATGTGTGCCTGTCTGGGAGACGACGACGGTCAACCGTAGTCGGACGTAAACTTCCTTAACCCCTGAGATTAGCAGGCCGGTGGAGCGGAGGTGCGCAACCATCTTCGTGTTGGTCCTCTTGTCTCATTAATCACGCGCTGTTTGATATGGTGGAGACTTTTCTCGGTTCAGACTCGGTCGCAAGCATAAATAGGAGCTGGTGTCTACCCATCACTGTGCTTGCGTATCCGTCCTAACTACTAATTCTTCATTTCTGCCTGATTATAATTAGTAACTATGGACCATCTCTCTCGACACCAGATAGCTGACGCTTACTTGGTAGCTATCCTCTCGATGGCTTGCGTCTGCCTCTTCATCGCCCTCAAGTTTCATCACTCGTGGTCGCGCGAGGCATGGTTGGTCTTCTTGATTGGAGGATGGATCATGTTAGAGCTGATAGCTTTGATTCTCTTCTCCCTTGAAGTTAGCCAGAAGGCCAAACTGCCACGGGTTCTTTCAAGTTCCATTTATCTTATTTTGGCAATAATGTCCCTGTGGGGAGTTGCCATAGTTCAGGTTTGCTACAGTCCCCAGAAGCTTGAAATGCCATTCTAATAAATACCTTCAGATTGTCGCGATTACGTATACATTCGCAGTTATAGTCAAGAAAGATTGGCTATGGAAATGCCTTGTCGTTCTCGAGTGCATCGAAGTCATACTGGTTGTTATCTTGGCACTGGTTCCAAACGTCCTTGCACCTCTTGAACTTGCCTACATCGCACCAATTACTTGTCAAATAGTCACCCTCGGCGTATTGTATCTTGCTTCCCGGGGTGTCCCATTTGAGAGAAATCGAATGATCAATCACTTATCAGTGTTGGGCTTGTGTGTCATCTTGATCTCAGGAACGGTAATGGGACTATCGCTAGCGGGGTACTGCACAAGGCTGATGCTCACTCAATGGTTTCTCTACATGGCAATATCAACAGTGGGTTATCGGCTTCCGGAGGGCTCTCGCCGAAACTCTCACGCAGATGAAGGCTCAGAACTCGAATTGACCGCAACTCCCGATGTCTGCGATGGCTTTAGTCCATCACGCTTGAACGGCCAACAATCGATTTCATCCGACGCATCGTCGCCCAGAGCTCAAACAACCAACTCTCTCGCTGCCACGATAAGCAGCAATTCCACGAGCCCCACGCAGAAAGAGGTTGCAACTTGATGAGCAAGGGCGAAATAAGGTCTTGAATCACAGCGAAAGCACAGGACCTCAGAATTGAGAAAAGTTTCATTTCCACATGGTAAATCGTTTCGTAGCTAGCCATTTTTAGTATAATTATTAGAACAACTATCTACGAAGACCATGGCCTCTCGTAGCTTTACCTAACTAGCCCTGACTACTAACGTGACTGTGCGGGCGGCACTGCTTAATGGCCCTGGCCCTCCGTCGAATCGAATTCAGACAAGGAACAGAGCCGATCAACTTGTGCCTCGAAGGGGCGGCACAATCCCGCAAAAGCAAACTTATAGCCATCATTCATGCCCTAGTAAAATGCCTGGCGCCATATTCTACCGAGGGAGGAGTCCTCGAACAAATACATATGCAGAGGAACGTCGAGGAGGGGGGGGGGGGGGGAGCGGAGTCGAGCTGAGGACCATAGTTGAAGGAGCTGGCGGCGGTGTCTGGCGAGAGAGAGAGGGAAGGGTCGAGCAGAATATGGCAGAGGAGCAGCTGCCAAGGAGAAAGGAGGGACTGCTCGCCAAATCCGATCCCGGGGCACGACCTGCAGCCAGTCTCTCCTACACATGATCAGTTTCAGCAAGCCGAGCTAACGATCCTTCTCCTATGCCTACGCCCCCTCGGCGGCCGCTATCTAGCAAGAGCTAATATCTAGAGGAGCACAGATAAGTTAACCGTGAGTGCACAAAGACGATACCCCCCTCACCCATGGTATGAAAAGGGATCAGCAGGATGATGTATCCCGGCCGCTGTTACCAGCAGTATACAACGTAAGATGAGCTACCTAGGCAGGCGTCGCTAGTCGTTAGCCTCTGGTCCTTTCCGAGAGTAGCGCGAGGAGGTCTATAGCGAAGATAGCTAAAAGCCAGACAGTTAAGAGTATATACCCCTTTTCCTCCGGCGGCTCAAGTATATATAGCACTGCGCGGATCGACTAGATATCCCTCTATCCCAGCCATAATGTATTAGACCCTGAGACTATTACTAACTAGGTGATAAACACGATGATGAAAGATAGGTGCAGAGAGTCATAGTTCTCTACTTCAAGAGGCAGTGTATATATAGAGCTTATATAAAGTCGGTTGTAATTATATACTAAGTAATATCTCCTCTTAGGGTTTAGATATAGGTGTAGACACTCTTATATCTTCACATATGCATAGAACTAATAAATATAATAGCATTTTATAGTCTGCCTATATAAGTATAAAGGGACTAATATATACTAGCTTTACTTATCCTCGCTATCCTATATCTCTACCTCCCTCTCGCTCTCCTATACCTCTATATTATTCTTTCTATCCTATGCCTCTATATCTAGCCTAATGGCACCCTTTAGGTCCTTTTAAAAGTCCTTAAAGTAGCCTTTACTCCTAGGGTAGAAGTCTATATATAGGGTGATCTAACTATCTAATATAGATTGAAATCTTCTCCTTGTAGGTGAGCCTATACACCTATTATCTTAATGCCTAGACTTTAAAACCTTATATAGGAGGATTATGTGAAGAGAATATAATAAGGCTAAAGCTAGCGTCCCTAAGGGTAATAGTTATCGATAAGAGCACACGACCTAGTAGTGTTAGCAGCTAAGAGAAGAAGGACTATCACGCACCTCGATATATTTATAGGTAGATACTTACTTATTATATACCCTTAAATATCCTCTAGGCAATAAGGCATACTTATATATAACGAAAATAGCTTAGAGTAGCTAGTTATAGTAATATAGCTATAGATATTAGTAATATAAGAGGGAGTATAGGTATATACCCCTCTAGGACTAATTCCTATACCTCGCTCCTTATATACTCCTGCCTAGGTAGAGTCTACTTAGTTTTTCCTAGGTTAGCCTAAAGTATTAGTATAAATAGAGTCTGATGTCCTAAGTATAATCGTTCGCTCTTATATAACCTATTTCTCACTAATATCCTATTTCTAGCTTTAGGAAATTGACCCTTTACTACTATCTACTATATCTCTATCCGATAAATACCTTAGTTAATCTTTTATTAGCGAAGAATAGCTATAAGCTATAATGCCTTCTGATGAGTAAAGGGGGGGTAGTATAGAGGCTATTTATAAGAAATCGCTTAATTATTCACTAAGGAGCCCTAAAGATAAGGAGACTAGTGTAGATATAGCTTTTAAAGAATCATGTAGGTCTATAAAGAGGAAATATAAGGATGATCTAGATATTAGAGGTATAATAACTTATATATTTATTAGAAGAGAGTTTAATATATTAGGAAGTGAGCGGCCCACCTTATTAGGAAGCGCCCTTACCCCCTATAGTTTAGTAGGAAGGCTTTTATTAGTATAGTACTTTTGGGATTAAGTGGAAGATATAGATAATTATCGAGGAATATAATAAGATTTTCTTTTAGATCCCGCGACGTTTGCTCTATAATATAAGGCGTTAGATAGCAAAAGTGGGATAAGAACAGGATCTTATTATCTTTAAGAGAAGGGATCATCTTATTAAGATATGTGTAAACTTCCAGCTGGGGCACGAAGGCCCCCGCTTAGCACTTCTTAACGATCTAGAACGGGCCATTGACTAAGGCGAGGGTAAGGACGATGAAGAGGCACAAGAGAGCGGGGGCGAGAATGACACAGAGGCATTCGAGAGCGAGAGCGAGGATGAGGGGGTCATTGCTATTGTTCCGTCAAGAGAATATGACTGGCACTCGTATTTATTCACTCAATACATGTAAGAGATGTGAGGGTATCAGATGTCATGTTTGAATGCTGAGGAGGAAACGTTGGTCGGCGCGTAGGCCAGCCGGTAGCCATCGTGACCGGCTTCATGTAGGCCTCTCCTCACTTCACATGGAGGTCAACAATATTATTAGTCTAGTTTAGCAATGTTAGCCAGTCCACGGCTTCGGACGGTGTAGATGAGAGATAAATATTATGAAAAAAAATAAAAAATGAAAAGGACCAAAGGATTTTTATATTTTGTTGGTGACGACAAGAAGGTGCCGCAAATAGGGTATACGCCGAAGGATAAATGGCGGGAAAGCCAAAACGTCGTCTCGCAAAGCGTCGTTTGGCAATGCGTCGTTTCCAATCAAGAGTGCAAGCACAAAGCATCTAACCTGACCAATCATATAGCAGTTTTTCTCATTCGTCTGGATGTATGGGTCAGATGTGATTGGTCTGCTATAGGCATCCGGATTAGTAGTCGGACCGATCATGCTTATGGGTTCCAAGTTTAGTCTTATTTGTGGGTGGATTCCCTGTCGCATCACAACAAACCAATTACGAGCGCTCGCCATGCCACACCCCTCGTCGCCAAAGAAACGCTTCAGTCATCATCGGCAAAAGTAAACACCTGCCAACTGAATTCTCTTCATCAGGCTAGCCTCATGGTGGCTCAGCATTCGTGCTCTCGTCGTTTCAAGCGGCCTCCAGAGGTGAGATTACCCTATTTCTCTTCTACATCCAGATACTTGGACTTTCGATGGCATGAATTGAAAGCCGATGAATACCCGACAATGTGCTCGTACCACCCGTGACGTGGTTTCCCTAGCAGCACGCTTACTGTTATTCTCTTTTCTCTTTATCGTATAACAATTAGCTCATGATATTGCCAATCCTCGTCTAACCCACTATATTCATCAGTCCATGGAAGAAATCGAGAAACTACAAGCCTAGCTAAAGGCTACTAAAGACCGTGCCCTTGAAGAACAGCGTCGATGGGAAGAAGCTAAAGAATATGCGAGCTTATCACGCCTACTAACGCTATACTAATACCTTAAATTATGCTATTCACTTAGCCTTACTATTAGAGTAGTAACCGATTATTCTTTAATAATATAAGGGGAGATAATAAATCTAACTAGCTAAATTTACCCTTAATAGATCCTCCTATAGGCTATATTTACTATAGAATAAGAAAAAATATAGAATTAGCTTTTATCTAACTCCTCGTTTTCTTCTTAAACCCTATTTCTATCCTAATACTAGCTAGATTATATAAGATCTTTACTTCACCTAATTAGTAGTAAGATTAAGCTTTAAAATAGTAAATAAGATACTATAGAAAATATAGTTTAAAAGCTAGTAGACGCTATATATAATAACTTACTATTAAGGAACTATCTAGGACTTAATAAAATAGTATTATTTAAAAGCTATATAAATCTTAGTCTAATAGATAATTCCCTCTCTAAATCTATAAAATAAGTATCTATTAGCTTAATACTATATAACTAAATTACTTAGTATAGAAAGATATAAAGTAAGAGTAATTAAGTAGATTAGTTCTATATCTACTAAACCTTAGATAATTAATATATTCCTATTATTATAATTAAGTATAAGCTACTATATAAGTTAAGATATAGTAATATTATTATAAGATTAATCTTAGAGATTTATCTAGATTATAATATAATTAATTAGGAGGGGGAAGGATTTATATTTACTATAAGGTAGCTTACTATAGCTATAGTGACTTAGCTCTTCTCTTATATAATAAGAAAAGGCATTTAGTATAGTTATATATATACTAGAGAGGCTTATATTTTTCTCTATATTCTAGATAACCCTTCCTATATTTACTATTATATTTATATACTAAGTCTAGATATTAAGGATAATAATAAGAGTTAACTTTATTATATTACTATTATATAAACCTTTACCTTTATACTTTAGGCTATTAAGTTACTACTACCTAGTTAAGCTTAGTATAATACTACTAAATATCTTAATATATAGTTAGTAGAATATAAGGATATATTATAGAGTATTCTAGCTATAGATTAGAAACTAAAGTATAAAACGCCTTATAAGCTATAATACTAGAAAGGCTTTATATACTCTTTAATCTAGATATACTCTTAATACTTACTACCTTAGGATTTAATATAGTAGCTAAATAATAATAATAGTAATAAGGATAGTGAAAGTAATAAGAGCTTATACCTAACGCTAGATCTAGTATTTAATTAAGGAGGTACCTTAGTTATACTAATAAATTTTAAGTTAAATAAGAACTAAAAGTAAAAAGGAAGTATAGATTTACATTAAACTAATATCTAAGAATAACCTTACTATATATATAAATACCTCCTTAGGCTTATATTTAGCGGTCTATTAAATATAAAATATCTAAATTATATATACTATAGTAGTATATATATTAACTAAAATAAATTTCTTCACCTTACTTAAGATTAGCTAGTAATTAATTATAAAAATAGCACTAACTATATACCTCTCTACTTATTAGGTTTATAAGGTTTACTCTTTAAGGTCTACCTATCTTTATATAGTTATATACTTATTATAAAAGGGGTAAAGGTATTAGATATAAATAATTTATATTATAAAAATAAGATTTATAATTATCTTTAGGAACTCTAGGGTAAGGCTATATTAGTCTATCTTAGTAATATAGATCTTATTAAGCCCTATTACTATAATAGTAGTATATATAAGTATTTTATATTTCTTAGTTATAGAGGATAGCCTATCTTAAAAGAACTAGAGGAAGTTAGTATAAATATAGCTAATAAGATTCTTACTATACTTAGTTAATTATATTAGTATAAAGTTCTCTATTATAATATAGAGCTATATAATATACTATATAATAAAGATACTAGTATATATATAATTATAGACCTTATACTAGCGGAGATATATAATTAATAACTACTTAGACTTATTAGCTTAAATAGGTAAAATAGAAAGAGAAAGAGGAGGTTATTAGCTAGGAAATATAGGAAGGATATCTTCGTAGCTAAAATACAGTCTTTATAAGCTAGTTTATTATTATAAGCATTAGCCTTTCACTATCTTATAGAATTATTTAGTAATGCTCTCCCTTGATCCCACCTGCATGGCCATCGCCGATGCAGCACGCGTGCATATAGGTAGGCGATTTAAATTATTCCATAGCTAGCTTTTTTTAGTATAAATATTCCGGGAGGCGCTGCTTAACGGCCATGTAGCTTTATCCAAGGCGATGTTACACTGTACCTGCAGGCTAAGGCATCTAAGGGTAGATAGAACGCTAGCCAAGCATAAATTCAATATCAGCACCTGAACACTTACACCTGAACACTTGGAAACAGGTTGCTAACAACTTATATTAGTGCACCCTGCAAACTGATTTCAGTCGGCTACAATCCTAGTACGCGACTCTGCGCACGCGGCATTTCTCGTACGCGACACTGCGCAAGCAATTCTCGTACGCGACTTTGCGTGCGCAACTTTGTGTACGCGGTGGGTCTCGTACGCAAATCGGCGTACGCAGTCCATTGTTGAATAATTAATTAAGACTATTATCAGCTATTTTCAACCCATATGTGGGCACCTATAGTATGCTTCATTATTGTAGGGCGCAAGGGGGACTATAGCAATACAAAACGTGACATTTCTGTCATCAAATGGCCTTGATGAGTTTTTGGTTTAGATTTGATACGTATGGCTTTGACAAACCTTGGATTGGTGGACAGCAAAATCTTTTGTGTATCAGGTTAAGTGTCTATAAAGGCTTTAGACCTAACACTCCAGAGAGGCTACACATGATACTATCGGGGCACCGGGCGTAGTACTTCATGAAGACTCTACATAGTACTATCAAGACACCGGGCGTAGTACTTCATGGACGCCATGGGTAGTACTATTCTGGTATGACGCGTAGCACTCCATGAGGGCTATGGATAGCACTCGGGATGTGTAGCGCTCGGCAGGTGTAGCACTCGGGAGGGGTAGCGCTTGGAGGTGTAGCGCTCGAGAGGTGTAGCGCTCGAGAGGTGTAGCACTCGAGAGGTGTAGCACTCGAGAGGTGTAGCGCTCGGGAGGTGTAGCACTTGAGAGGTGTAGCGCTCGGGAGGTGTGCCACTCGGGAGGTGTAGTGCTCGGGAGGTGTAGCACTCGAGAGGTGTAGCGCTCGAGAGGTGTAGCGCTCGAGAGGTGTAGCGCTCGGGAGGTGTAGCGCTCGAGAGGTGTAGCGCTCGAGAGGTGTAGCACTCGAGAGGTGTAGCATTCGGAGGTGTAGCGCTCGGGAGGTGTAGCACTCGAGAGGTGTAGTGCTCGAGGGGTAGCGCTTGGAGGTGTAGCGCTCGAGAGGTGTAGCGCTCGGGAGGTGTAGCGCTCGGGAGGTGTAGCACTCGAGAGGTGTAGTGCTCGAGAGGTGTAGCACTCGGGAGGTGTAGTACTTGAGAGGTGTAGCATTCGGAGGTGTAGCGCTCGGGAGGTGTAGCACTCGAGAGGTGTAGTGCTCGAGGGGTAGCGCTTGGAGGTGTAGCGCTCGGGAGGTGTAGCACTCGAGAGGTGTAGTGCTCGAGGGGTGAGGTGTACCTAGTGCTCCAGACGCGTGTGCTACATATAGGTTATAATTAGTACTAAGAGGTGTAGCACTAGGGGGCGTAGTGCTCGAAGGATGTAGCGTTATAGAGGTGTCACGAACTCACGGGATTACGTGCTAACATGGCTGGGCAGGCGTAAACGGTATCACGTGTTCCGGCACGTGTTAATAGATATCCTATATTCCCGTAAGCTAGGGTGGATTGATGTTGTCCTTCTTTCTATACTCTCAATTGAATTCTAGTTCACCTCGGTTCCTCACAACAGGCTATAGATAGCACTAGAGAGGTGTAGTGCTAGAGAGATGTGGTGCTCGACCAACAGTTGGAGACCTGCATCGTCCACAGCTGGATTCATGAATTGATGCCCACACATCCACCCTCCAAGTTCCGAGGAATGCTTGCATGGGTTGCACCGAGGGGCAGAGAAGCGTTGTCACCGGTACAAGTGGAAGGTTGAATATGAAGATTGCGTACATAGATGAAAGGGAAGCAGGTAAGACCCAGTCAGCTTTGAGACTCACAGTTCGTTGGACTTGTTGAGTTTGTTGGTTGGGCTCCAAGAACATGGATGGTACCATTTCCTGGACTCCTGGACCATTTTTGCTAGTTAAACCACCGCGGCCACAAAGAAAGCAACGACAAGCACTTTCAAAGAATATTCTTCCCGTCAAAAACGGGGGCTGCAGTCAGGCTAGCCTACACCGGGCTGGAAGCCTGGATCAAGGGGTAAACATGCACCTTTGTCGTTATAGACCTAGTAGACGCCTCTGACATCGTAAGTTTTACATGAACTCGGCCAACAAGCTCACAGAGTCCTAGTGGAGAGGGTAGCCACACACAATGCAACCATAGTCTAGTTTATCTTATCTAATATTTGTCTGCATTTCAATTATCTACCTCTCCCCCTAATCAGTTCTTGCTTTCTTTTCCTTAGATTTTTATGGGCAACCCAACGATCTTTTCATCCAAAACCCGCACCATCAGGTTCCACTAAATGTATTCATTCATCCGGTTCCTACATTCTAGCAGAATGTGTCGCACACCTTGCCGGCTGTATCCACCAGCCTTGTCACCATCGCAGAGATGAGCATGCAAGCCGACGATTAAGTTATTTCAACAGCCATTGCGGGGACAGCCACTCAGTGTCCGAGGACAGTTAGTATGCACGAGGACAGCCAGTGGTCCTAGGACATCCATGTGGTCCGAGGACAGCCCTGTGGTCCGAGGACAGCCCTGTGGTCCGAGGACAGCCCTGTGGTCCTAGGACATCCATGTGGTCCGAGGACAGCCCTGTGGTCCGAGGACAGCCCTGTAATACATAGTTTGTATCATTTATGTACATATAATATTCCAATGCTTAGCTCACTAAAGCTACTGTGCAGGTCGTATCTGATGCGGCCAAGCTAATTATATTGTGCTGTCTGAAGGATCTGTATTGTAATGGCTTATGAATATGTCTCATATTGTGCGAAGAGACGAAGAAAGATAAGACCAAAGACGCCCCTGGCTAAGGGTAAATCTCCAGCACGTGGTGCCTCGCGACACTGACACGTGATCACGTGAGTCACCGAGATCCAGACGTAGTTGGCGAGGGTTAAATGCAGGAATTAATTGTGAGGAACTGTCTACGGTGTGCTGTCCTACTGGAGAGGCTGGCACATAATGCGCTGTCCTACTGGAGAGGCTGGTACATAATGTGCTATCCCATTGGAGAGGCTGGTACATAATGTGCTATCCCATTGGAGGGGCTGTCCCATCATGGGCTAGCACACAGGATGGGCTAGCACACAGGATGGGCTAGCACACAGGATGGGCTAGCACACAGGATGGGCTAGCACACAGGATGGGCTAGCACGCAGGATGGGCTAGCACACTATGTGCTACCCATTAGAAGGGCTAGTACATCATGTGCTGTCCCATTGAAAGGGCTGTCCCATCATGTGCTGTCCATTGGAAGGGCTAGAATATTCATCCATATTTCGGGACTGGCAGAAGGTGGTTGAGAATCTGGATGCATGCCGGGAGACGCTGATGGCGGAGGGTACCTAGATGCGTCCTTGGCTGCAGATTCAGGAATGGCCCCACAGAACCTTCTAGGTCATTGTTGCGTGTTGAGCTTTTGGTGCAATGTATGCATATACTGCAAGTACATACCGTATATACATGCGCATGTACCTACACAGCTATTCGCATCAAAGCGATGAATGGTAATTATCGTAAAAAAAAAAAGACCCCCAGCATATAGTAAATATTAGCTTATATCTCTAATACTATCTTCTAAATTTTTATAGATTAGTTTCTAGTCTAGCTCCTCTAGCAGTTTATAGTGCTCTAATAATACTTATATAACTAGGTTAAGTATTTAGTAAATCTCTATTATAAGTATATTATTTATAAACCTTTTAAGTTATTTAAGTAGTACCTTATAAGTTACTTAGGATTTATTATTACTATAAAATTAGTATAGGAGCTAAGGATTTACTATATATAATCTACTTATATAAATAAAACTAAGCTCTTAGAGGCTACTAAGATTATTCCTAGACTAATACTACCTTTTCCTCTATATCCTTTAATTATTAAAACCTACTATTTAGTAGACTATAGATTACTTTTAAAGTTTATATAGTATAGTTTTAGACCCTTAGTTATAGAGTTAGGGAATATTTAATAAATATATTCCTTATAAGTAAGATTCTTAGTATTTTTACTATATTTCTAACTATAATAGAGTTAAACTTCTTCTAGAAACTTAGTATAATATTATAATAATCTAATTTTAGCTATAACTTAATATAGAGAATATAGGCTATTACTTTTACCTAATACCTATAAGATATTATAATAACTTTATTACTACTTATAGGGTAGATATATAATACTATCTAGGAAGGGAATAGTCTCCCTTAAAGTAGCACTAAAAAGGCTATAAATAGTTAGATAGTCCTAGTGTAATCTAAGAAAACTAATAATTATCTCTTAATAAAGATACTAAAGCTCTTTTACTAGTTTATATAGTTCTAATGCTTTAGTAGTAAATAACTTTAAGTAAGCGTAGTTGCTACTAACCCTTATATCGATAAGTTCATGCGTTATTAAGTCATCCGTTATATAAATATATTTCTTAGAAGAAAAGACAGCTAAATTACTACACTTATTATAGACCTTATTTCTAGCGCTAAGATCATCTACGCTATTTAGTGTACTACTATATAAATAATTAGTATAATAGATTTTAGCTTATCCTGCTTCCCTAGCTATAGATATAAGGGACTATATATCTCTATTAGTACTATAATCTTAGTAGAATATCTTAATATCCTTTAGTATATCACCCTAAGATACTATATTAGAATAATTAGGAACTACATCCTCTTAGTTAGTATTATAAACAGATTTAAACCTAAGGTATCTCTGAGATAAATTCTTAATAAAGCTAAAAAGTATATCTTTTCTAAATAATAGTTTAATGTTTTAGAAGATGTCATCAGCTTTTGCCTCTAGCTCGGCGAGCTCTATTGTGAGTTAAGCAAGAATGATAATGATTACGCTGAGTATATAGTGGGAATGGAGCTGTCTAAAAGAAACGGTGGGTGCATCGGACCCTCGCACCGAGTGTCCTCTCCAAACACGTCCCATTTTTGGGACAGATACCCCATTTTTGGGATAGATACCACAAAAGGTGAGGCCCCACATGTGCCGTAGTGTACCTTGACAGAGCGTCTATATTTAGGCTGACTGGTACATCCGTATTTGGCCAGGTGAGAACGTTTTATGCCAAAACATGACGTCATAAGCATTGCCTTCCCTCAAATTACCAAGGGGTGTGTGCACACACACGCTGGGGCTCGGATGGGAGCTAAATGGCAGCTGCTGACTAAAACGAGGCAACGAGTCACAAGTGGAAGGAAACAACAGATGTTGTGCGCCCCTGATGGTGCGAGTCGCCCAACCAATAATTTAGGTGAATCCGCAAGCTCCATGGCGAGATAAAGGATCCAGAAAATAGGTTTTACTCTGAGCCTGCTGGAGGGAATGGAGCTGTCTAAAGCAAATGGTGGATGCATCGGACCCTCGCACCGAGTAGTGTGTCCCATTTTTGGGACGGCTGCCAAGGGTAACATCAGGGTGAGGCCCCACATTCATTCAGCAATGAGGTACAAAGTGGTGCTTTTTATGCCAAAACATGACATCATAAATATGTGCCTCTCCCTGAAATCACCTAAGGGAGCTATTGTGTTGCTGGCAGCTGCTGACTAGAACGAGTCAACGAGTCCAAGTGCAAGATAAAGCCAGGAAACAGGAAATTTTGTGCGCCTGGTCGCCCGACCAATTTAGAAGCCAGAGAGGAAGCAGATAAGTTAGGTGGAGCCTATGTACATGATCTTCATCTGGGCGTGCAAGCTTCACTCCCCCCCTGCTTTAGAAGGCAGCGCAACCAGCGCTGCACCCCTGCATTTGCGAACTGGCCCAGCCAGTATGAGACGACAGTTTGTTGGCTGGGCTCCAAGAACAAGGGTGGTACCATTTCCTGGACTCCTAGATAATTTCCGAACTCTTAAGTTCATATTACTAATGCTCATGTCATTTTTGCTAAAGCATATTAAATACAGGCTAAAACACGGCCTTCATTCACGCTTTAAATAGCTACTTATATAGTTTATATAATAGCTAAGCTCCTAACCTTGCCCTAAAAACATAATAGAATAAATAAGAATATTATAAAGGCTATTAAGGGTCTTATATAATAAGGTAATAAAATAAGTAGACGTTTTAATACTAATATCTAAGTTATAGTATAATAAAATAATAGATATTAGGACTATAACTCTTCTTATAGCTTATTATTTCCCCCTCCTCTTATAGAAATTATAAGTGATCTTAATATTAATCTACTTAGTACTTAGTAAGCTAACTTTATTATAGGAATAGGCCTATCTACTAGCTATAAGGAGATCTCTAGCAAGCTTCTAGCATACCTAGTATACTATACCCTCATTATCTACTTTAAACTTAACTACTAAATAGAGAAGCTCAGGGGATGAGATTAGCTAAGACTAGATAGAAAGACAGAATTAATTTCCTCAAAAAGGGATTGCTGCGCTACATTGCAACAAGATCAC